TGCAAGGAACATTCTGGAAATGTGTAACACAGGCCCCTGCCACGCAGTGGTGCACCAGGCTCTGCCTCTTTCCCCTGTGACTACCCTCTCCACACCCCTTCTAACCCTAACCCTGAGCACCACCGTTCCCCCCGGCTTCTGTGGGAGTGACTCAGATCCCACACATGAGCGGGTTCATGCAGGACCTGTCCTCACAGCCCTGGCTTCCCACATTTCATCTGCTGTTGAAAATGAAAGGGATTCATTCTTATTAGACACAATGTTATTCTACTGTATGTGAGGTGACTGCAGAGTTTGTGGGAATTGGAACTACAAGGTGAGTTTCGGGAAGGCATTGATCCAGCACTGGGTGTCTGCAGCCTGCATCAGAGGTCTGCATTCAGGCCCAGGCCCCGTAACCTGCATCGGAGGTCTGCATTCAGGGCCAGGCCCCGTAACCTGCATCGGAGGTCTGCATTCAGGGCCAGGCCCCGTAACCTGCATCGGAGGTCTGCATTCAGGGCCAGGCCCCGTAACCTGCATTGGAGGTCTGCATTCAGGGCCAGGCCCCGTAACCTGCATTGGAGGTCTGCATTCAGGGCCAGGCCCTGTAACCTGCATTGGAGGGCCTGCGTTCAGGGCCAGGCTCTCCATCTGAGTTCAGCTTTCAGCTGTTAGCAGCTGACGGCTCCAGCAGCTGTGCCCCTATCATCCTTGTGGGAGACGTTAATTAAGCTACTCGCCTCTGGGCTGGAATGGGAGGTATGTCTCTCTGTATCTTTGCCTTTCAAATTTAAAAAAATATAAACATTTTTAGCAGTCAGAGTGAAATGCAGTGGATCGTATTGGAGCTGAATGTAAGATGTTGTGACACAAGAAGGGGGACTTGCAGGAGGTGTCCCAGAAGTGGGTTGCAGAAGAGCTGCAGCCTGCCCAGCCCCACCCATCTTGTGGTTTCCTGTGGCTGACCCTTTTTGGAGCTGCCGAGCTGGCTGACCCTGTCCTCAGGTCCCTCCTGAGGCTCCTGGGGACAAGACTGCTCACTGCCACCTCTCCCTGCACGTCACACCGTGGTGATACACAGCTGACAGCCCCAGGTCCACCGAGTTTGCTTTGATGCTGGAGGCGGGGCTGGGTGTTCGTCATGGGCTGGGTGTTCGTCAGCCTGAAGGGAACAGAGATAAGAGCTTCATGCCACAGCTGAGGGAGCCGCTGTCTGACGTCACTGCTCTCGGGTGTCTGGCTTTGGGCTGCGCCATCACACCCCTGTTGTTACTCATTTCCAGGTTGGGTTAGTTTCTGAGGATTGGTGCGTGGTGGGCTAGGAAGCCCCATGTGGTGTGGACTGTCCACTGCCTCGCCGTTTATGGGCACTGTGGTCAGCCCTGTTTCCTTTCTGCCTGCCCTTCCTTTTGGCCAGTCTACCACATGGGCTGTGCGGGCTGTGCTTATCACAGCCACCCCAAGGGACAGTCCTGGGGGAACTCTGTGCCCTCACTTACACACTGTACGACACTGTTCTCTTGGCGTACCTGGCAGTAGCACGCAGCAGCCTCTCAGCTGGGTCTGCGGAGGAAGCTGGCTGGAGATGACTGACAGCAGATGGGAGGGGCCTGGGGTTCACAGTGGGCACAGATAACACCACTTTCTGCAAGCAACTTGTGCATCCATGGGGTGTCTGGGGTCCTGGAAGCCAGCCCCATGGATGTAAAGGACAGCAATGCTCTCTCATTCCCAGTGTTCCCAGACCTGTACTGATCTGGGTCCCTGCCATCCATGTGGGAAGCTTGAATGGAGCTCCTGGCTTCAGCCTGGCCATTTGAGAAGGTCACCACGTGGAGAGAGAGAAAGTATGTGTGTGTGTCTCCTGTTTGTCACTTTAGCTTTCAGGTCAATGAAAGATCTTTTTTTAAAATTGTTTTTATGGGAAATTCAGATATACAGAGAGGAGAAGAGACAGAGAGGAAGCTCTTCCATCTCCTGAGTCACTCCCCAAATGGCCACAATGGCTGGAGCTGTGCCGATCCAATGCCAGGAGCCTCCCTTGGGTCTCCCATGTGGGTGTAGGGTCCCAAGGCTTTGGGCCATCCTTGCCTGCTTTCCCAGGCCACAAGCAGGGAGCTGGATGGAAAGTGGGGTTGCCAGGATTAGAACTGGCGTCCATATGGATCATAGCACATTCAAGGTGAGGACTTTAGCCACTAGGCTACTGTGCCAAGCGTGAAACAGAAATCTTTAAAAAGAAGCTCAGCAATGGCAAGCACAGAGGAAGGAGCTCTTGCTTGTGGGTGAGATGGCAGATGTGCAGCTGCTGCAGAAAACAGCACAGAGGCCACTGAGCTAGAAAACTGCTCGGCCCAGGAATCCCACATGAGCTGTCTAAAGAGAAGTGAAACGGGTCTGGAACAGGACAGCACTGCCACGTCCACTGTGGCACCACATACATGGTGAGAAGTACTGCAGCTCACAGTTGGGGGATGCCCCTCAGCCTCGGGAATCAGGATCCCCAGAACACTGTGCCCCCCACCGGAGGACACCATGAGACATTTAGTCACAGCCTGCAAGTCCTCACACCTGTGGAAGCTCCAGTCTGGCCTGGGTCCCCAGTAGGATGTGCCAGCTCCAGGGTGCCACTGTGTGGCTTGTCCTCTGGCTAACTGCAATGTCCACCAGGTGAGTGACCCCCACGTTGGCCACCACATGGACGCCAACACAGTAGCCAAGCTCGTTCTCACTGCAGGTCTCCCTGAATGCGAACGAGCATGGTTTTGCTGACGTGTCTTGGGAAGTTGGTTTCATTTGTCATCTTTATTTCTTAAACTTGATCGCTATGCAGGGGAGCCGCTGTTGGCAGCACTGGTATCAGTACCACGGTGACTGTTCAAGTCACGGTTGGCTCACAGCCCCTACCTCCACTTGGTGACTGAGACTCTCGTGCCCCAGCTGGGTGTGTGAGTCATGTCCCCAGAGTGACCACACCATCATCCCTGGCAACAGTCTGGTCTCGCCCCACCTCAGGGGCTGGACATGTGGCTCAGGTTCTGATCCTGTGGGTGCTGTGGCCTTCACTTCATTCTGGGCCTCGTGCAAGGAAAAATGTCCTTATCCTGTTCCTCCTGCCCCCATGGGATGGTGGGAGGCACAGCTCCGGTACTGCCAGGGGCTGTAGCGCCAGCCCTGGAAAGGCTGTCTGCAAAGACGGAGGGGAGCAGAAGTACCGGCAGCTTGGGAACGCGGGACCTGCTGACGCACCAAGCGGCTTGGTTGGATGACTCTTGGGCACGAAGTTGACCACGTGATGGCCAGTCTTGTATGCTGTGTCCTCAGATGCAGGCCACCGCGTTCTGGAGCCCTCGGTTGGGTCACTTCCCAATGTCCCTTCCCCTTCCCCTGCAGCAAGACGCCCCCTGGCTCTGGCTGCTCTCCACTGTCAGTTTTCCTCACAGGTTCTGGTCTGTATCACTGACCCTTAATTTAACAGAAACCTGTTTGCACTGGTGTTGTAAATGCTGCCTGCAAGTCAACTGCCCCATGCCTGATCTGGGTGGAGGCAGGTGGGGGTTCAGGTGGTACCGTGATTTGTGGATGGATATGTGGGGTCAGGTGCTGCAACCCCCAGCAGTGCTGGCCTCGTTCTCCTGGCTCTTCCCGGGGTGAACCCTGAGAGGTGTCAGTGCCATCCGTGTGTTTGTGCGTGAGGGAACATGTATGTACGTGTCACATGTGAAAGTGTTAAGTGTGTGTGAATGAATGTGTGTGACAGCCTGAGTAGGTGCATGTGTGTAGGGTGTGTGAGAGTACAAGTGTGACAGTGATAATGTGTATGTGCATGTAGGGGTCCACAGGTTGAGAGTAGTGAGTAAACATGATGTGTAGACACTTGGGGATGTAGGACAGAAAATGTGTGTGTGAGAGGGCTGTCTCCGTGGCTGTGCTAACAGGTGGCATGGAGCTGCAGCGGCACCCAGCTTCAGATCGCCATGCAGGAGAGTCGGGGCTCCCCGTGAGTGGTGGATGTTGGGGTTCGCCATGCGGGAGAGTCGGGGCTCCCCGTGAGTGGTGGATGTTGGGGTTCGCCATGCTGTGGCTGGGTTGGGGAGGCAGATGCACAGAGAAGACTGCTCTTGCTCCTCTCAGCTCTCTGTCCCCTCGCCACAGGCCCAGCTTCTACATTATCCCTGGGGTGGGCGGGAGGCCATGGCAGTCAGATCTGTGTCCTGGGTGCTCTTTTGCTGTCCCTTCTGTTGACAAGGTGGGTACAGGGTGAGTGGAGGGGGAGCTCCTGATTAAGAGCTGCCTCCAGCACTCAGACCCTCCTGTAAGTATCAAGTGTGACACCACTAGAAGATTCCTGGGTAACTAAGTATTTGAAACTGAAAAGACACCTGTTTCCTGCAATTGAAGCTGTGATGGTGAATAGTGATTTTAGCAGCAATGTGGGAATCAGCAGGCTCTGGAGTGGAGTGGCAGGTGTGTGTGGCTTCAGGGGTGTGGGGCTGCAAGGGTGAGGGGCTGCAGGGCTGTGGGGCTGCCTGGATGTGCTCTGTGTACCTATCAGGTGCAGTCTCTGAGCTCAGTTGAGATCCACTGTCCACCGACTCCAGAATCAGCTTTCCATTAAGAAAGTGCTGGAAAGAAAAACCTCAGGATAGAGAGCCATAGGGATGGGTAGAAGGGTTGTCACTGGGTTGCTGGGGTGTTCAGTGAACCCAGGTTCCCTCCATGGTGAGTGAGAAGAGCCTGCGTGGCAAGGCTGCATGGGCTTTGTGCTGTATGCACACAGGCATGTCACTGGTGGGACACCATGCATTCCCTGCCCAAGTTGCAGGGACTGGCATGAGAAATGAGCCGGGCTGCACTGACAACCTGTGGCTGGCAGCTGGAGCTCGTCATCACCATGCGCGCAGTCACCAGGATGGGGTAACCCATGGTTACGGGGGAGCTGCCCTCCCACTGCTGTATAAGAGCTCTGTGAGGGAACCCTAGGCTCAGCTGCCCTCAGGACCACGGAGCACAGCAGCATGTCGCCTGCCTTCCGAGTCCGCTGCCACTTGCTTCTGCTCTGTGTGTCAGCGCTCCGCGGGCACAGCTGTGCCGCCGAGGTGAGCCCTCCCTGACCCGCGGACCCTGCATGTCTGCCCACCTGAGCCTCCCTGGGGGTCACCTGCCCTGCTGGGTCCTCCATCCCCCTTGTCTCTGCGCTCGCTGTGTGTGTCCACGGCTTGGCGGGAAGGATCCCAGATCTCCAGGTCCTCTGGGAGCCCCGGGAGACTGTCCACTCTGCTGAGCCGGGAGAGAGAGCTCCACTCCTGGTCCCTCCAACGTGGCGGGACCAAACTGTTTTCCTGGCCAGCTGCGGGAAGCGGTGGACTATGATCCTTGGCGGGTCTTGGGCGCCAGCCCGAAGCGGGAGGTGGCTGGGGAGGAGCCGTATCACCGTGCGCTGCGTGAGTTGGACAGTGGGAGGTTGGGCTTGTGCTGGGACAGGGGCTTGGGGTCTCCCCACAGGATGGGTGGCCGGGAGCGCCAAGGGCACCGTCCCCGGAGAAGCAGCGGTCTTAAGAGGCTTGCGGGGAGGGGGTGTGCACAGGGAGGTGGCGCTGGGAAGGCGTGCGGACTGCGTCCCTCCCACAGGCTGCCTGGACGCGCTGAGCCTCCAGGGCCAGTTCACTTTCACCGCGGACCAGCCCCAGCTGCACTGCGCTGCGTTCCTCATCGCAGAGCCAGGAGAGCTGCTCACTGTGCAAGCCGACCATGCCTCGCTTGACTGCCAACGTGGAGACTTCCTGAAGGTGAGGCCGCACCCCCTGCGGGATCGCCTGGCCCCTGGCCCCAGGCTCAGCTTGTCTTAGGGTATGGCCCCAGTGTAAAATCCCTTGCAAGCCCTCAGAGACTCCAAACTTAATGCGCCCCTGGGGCCCAAAGTCTTGCTGGAGCCCAGCCACTCCTGAGAACCTGGTCCCACCGTCTCCACCAGATGCACTCCTGTGCATCCAGGTGCTCCAAGGAACCGCAGGACGCGCTGCAGGCTGGAAACAGGCTCTCTCCGACCCACGGCCAGCTGGGCTCTGCGCCGCCACTGGCTGTGGGTGCCGCAGTAGACAGGGCTGGACTGGACAATTAGAGAATGAGATCTGCGCTCCAAGTCACTGTGCAGACGTGACCACGTTGGGCGTGGGGTTTTGCAGTCCTTGGGACAAACTAGCAGGTGTCATGCTTGAACGCTAAAGCAGTGTGTGTGTGTGTCCTCACAGGGAGGGGTGATGGCCCTCAGCAGTGTGTGTGTGTGTATGGCAGAAAGGAAGAGGAGGGAGGTGTGTGGAAATGTGCAATATAAAAGAAATACACAGGCTTCCAAAGAGTGTGCCAAGTGGGGCATCTTTGCATGCTGTTTCTCAATGGTTTAAGGGTCCTCATGTAGCGGCTGACAGATACAGTGCTGCCTGGGTCATTTCTCTGACCCAAGCAAGGAAAGGAGCTGACCAGGACTGGGAGGGGGCTACCAGAAAACCATGGTGGTCGGTGCTTCAATTACCAGGGAATCATGAAATAGGCAGGCATGAGAGAATGTGCATACTGTGGGAGCCTTAAGGCTCAGAAAGAAGAGTGAATGAAGGAGGGCCCCTGTGTGGGTGCCTCTGCCGGCCTCTGACCCTGCATCCGCAGTGCCCCTGCACTCCTGCAGGTCTTCGACGGCTGGATCCTCAAGGGAGAGAAGTTCCCTAGCACCCAGGACCACCCCCTTCCCACGCCACAACGCTATGTGGACTTGTGTGCCGGTGGTCTCAGCGGAGGGGGCATCACGTCCTCCCAGAATGTGGCCATGCTCTTCTTCCGCGTCCACGAGCCAGGAAACGGCTTCACAGTGACCATAAGGACACACCCCAACCTCTTCCGTAAGTGGGCTTCTGGCCAGCCTGGCACAGGGCAGCCTTGCTCTGCGTGGACAGGAGCTGACTGGAGTACAAACCATCATCAGAAGTGACCTTAACAGCATCTCCTGTTGGTTACTAGTCACTGAATGTGTCTTTGATCCCCACTGTCCTGCCAGGTCCTCTGAGTCACCCAGCACCCTCAACACTGACCCTCACGCCCCTCATCATCTCCCACAGCCAGGCTGAGCCCAAGGGAGCACGGGGACGGTGGAGAGAGGCCTTGTTCTGGGACAGGCCCGAGCAGACCTGGGCACCTCTGCCTAGGGCATGTCTGCTGGGTAATTGGAGCCTCAGCAGCCCAGGTGAAGCACAGAATGTCAGGATGAGCTCACAGTCACCTGACTGCTGCTTTTCCCCAAGCACGAGAGAGATCTGGAAAATTAGCAGTGATGGTGTCATGCCTTTAGGCTGCATTCGGGGCCCTGATGTGCCAGCCAGGCACTATAAGGAAGATAGAAGCAGGCAAGGAGATGAGAGACCTTCCCAGCCAGAGCCGGTGGATTAAAAGGGGATAAACCTGAGAGGGCAGACGCATGGCTAAACAAGGGTTTGTACAGTGTGAGCCAGCAGAGGGCCCGGGGGAGGGCGGACATGGCTGAGCTGGCTCGTGTGCAGGTACAGCAGAGGGCCCGGGGGAGGGCGGACATGGCTGAGCTGGCTCGCATGCAGAGGTCCAGGAGTCGGGGATTCTGAGCTGGGGGAGGTGAGAGGCAGGGTGGAGTGATTTGAGTTGGTGAGTATGGAACATGGCAGGGAGGGGTGTGTTTGTGTCCTGACTGAGCTGGCAGTTGGGAGAGAGCAAGGCAAGGGACCCGGGAGTGCAGGGTGTTGGTGCTGGCTCAGAACGATGGAGGGCCCGTGTCTCCAGGGAGCAAGGCAAGCAGGGAACCAGAATCAATCTCAGATTTCATCCTTGCTCCATCAGTGGCACACCATGATCTTCTGATTTCTATTAAAGAAAATAAAAGTTTTGAAAGAAGTCATCCCAAAAAGATTGTTTCCAAAGATGGAAAAAAAAAAATCAGATGTTTCTCCTATGTTAGGGATCAGAATCTCCTAGAATCATCCAGGAAGCTTCTGGAATCTTCAAGGAATTCCACTATGAAAAGTGGAGTGAAATAACAGAAGGAGGCCACAGGTGACTCTGACCTGTTCTGAGCCATCAGAAAATTTTATCTCGTAACTGGCAAATTCCTACTCTCTGACCTCACTTCACCTCTCAAAGAATGTTTTGTGATTCTAGATCTGAGATGAAAAAGGCTCAGCTGTTCATATAAACTACACATTGGAAGATTTTTTGTGAACTTACTAACAGCCAGCATAAAGTTTCAAACCTCAGTGTTGTCCATTTCTTTGCAGCCTCCTCTGTCACTGTCATAAAGTGCTTAAAATATTTATTTGATCATTTAAAATTAACAATATGACTTCAGGTATATGGGCTGGCTTCTAGTTTCACTTTAAAAAGAAAGACTTGGTTTTATTTTAAAGGCAGAGTGACAGAGAGAGGGGAAGATGGAGAGAGATCTTCCGTCAGTTGTTTTACTTGCACAGTGGTCCCACTGGTCAGGGCTGGGCCAGACTAGAGCTGAGAGCTCCAGCAGGGCGTCCCAGCACTTGGGCGGCCTTCTGCTGCTCTCCCAGGAATATGAGCAGGATGGGAAGTGGAACAGCTGGGACTTGCCCTGGAACTCATGTAGGGTGCTGGCACTGCAGGCAGCAGCTTAACATGCTGCCCAGCTCCTGGCCTCCCCTTCAACTCCTCTTCTTCCAGAGTCCTAGCTTGCCCATGGTCAGGATGTCCCTGGGCCTTGACTGACATCTGCTGATAGGCCGGCCGGCCAGGCCATCATTATCCCTAGTTCCTTGGCTGCAGATGACCCTGTGCTGTGTGCTGCCTGCGTGCCCCGCGGAGTATCTAATGCACACGTGTTCCGCCCCCCAAGCCTGCAACGCCGTCTCCCCGAGCCCAAGCGGAAGATTCACACTGGTGGTGCCGCAGCAGCGCCGCAACTGCAGCTTCTCCGTGGTCTACCCGGTCGTGGTGAGGATATCCGACCTGGCCCTGGGCCGCTTCAGTGGCCTGCAGGTGAAGGAGGGACCTTGCCCTGCCTCCCGATGTCCCTGGGGGCGGGGTGTGGGGGCGTGCAAGGTCAGGCTCTGAGCCCTGGCTGCTTTGCTCCTGGCGCAGACAGCGGTGAGGTTGCGGTCTGTAATTACCATCGGGCTCGCTTGTGCTGGTGCTTCCCTCACAGCGCCTGGTCTGATTCATCCTCACAGCTGCTTGACTGAGAGCTGGAATTTTCTCTACACACCCAGGAAGCCTCTCATTGACAAAACGGGGCCAGGAGGATGCCAACTGTAGCAGAAAATCAGGGAGCGGAGTTTTGTATTGCAAAACACAGAAGGCGTTTCTGAGAGCAATTTGCTTTGCATTCAGTTCAGTGCATGTTGCTTTAAAATAAGAACATTCGCTAAGAGCCCTTCTCAGGTGAGCTCCTGTGTGGGTTGTAGAATCAAGGCTGGGCTTGGTTTGCTCTCCGTGCTGCACCCTCCTCTGAGTCGGCCGCACAGCCCTTCCTGTCTCAGGTGCCCAAATTCTGGAGCAAATGAGTGACTGGGACCAGGCCAGTGAGAGGAGCATGCCAGCTCCCCTCCAAGCCCCCAGTGCACCCACCATGCCATAGCAAAAGTCAGGAATGCACTGGCACAGTCTGACTGGTGTGGTGCCTGCCTAGGGGTCAAGCCTGGCTCTGCAGAGTGCTGGCCACACACATGGCACCGAGACTTGGTATGACCAAGGCAGCCATGTGCACGGGGCGACTGCCTTCTGCTGGGATGGAAAGAGAACTGTCCACCCTGGGTGACATAGAGTGGCCAGAGGCTGCTGGGTGCCAGGAGAGGAGAGAAGGCAGGGCAGGGAGAGGCATGAGTCAGGCAGCACCGGGTGTACAGGGCCACGCACTCTCCAAGGGCACTGCAGCAGCTTCTGGCATTGAACTTACCAGTGTGAGCCTGCTGCCGTGTAAAGGACTGGCACTGTGGCCCACTTCTTCATTTCTGTGGGAGGAAGGATCTTCAGCACAATAGGCTCATTCTTGGGTTCCCATTTTCCAAGACCTTCTGAAGCCTTCTGCTGTCGAGGGACTCAAGTAGAAGTGCAGGGTGGCAGGCACTGCTGAGGTGCAGGCGAGGGAGCAATGTGAACTGATTGCAAGGTGTGGGGTCATCCAGGCTTTCCTGTGACAGTAGACTGGAGGGACCATGTGACTGCCTTCATGGTTGTGATGAGATGTGGTCAGGTTAGGGCCACTGTCTCTTGTGGTCATGGATGAGACGTGGTCAGCTTGGGGTTATTGTGTCTCTTGAAGTGAGATTCCTGCACAATCCCACAATTCCTGCATATCCTTACTGTTAGACATGATGTGACCCAGGAAGAGGAAAACTCCTTTCCAAAGAGAGGAGATGTGAGGGGAGGGCCCATGCGGACATCTATTTGTGAAGTGAGTCCTCACAGCTGGCCATGGGGAGGCCAGGCTGTCCATGCAGGGGCCCAGGGATGCCAGGCTGTCCATGCAGGGACCCAGGGATGCCAGGCTATCTGTGCAGGGACCTGAGGAGGCCAGGCCATCCATGCAGGGACCCACGGATGCCAGGCTGTCTGTGCAGGGACCCAGGGATGCCAGGCTATCTGTGCAGGGACCCGGGCAGGCCAGGCTGTCCGTGCAGGGACCTGGGGAGGCCAGGCTGTCCGCTCCCTTTCCTCATTCAGATCCCCTTGGGCTTAAAATACACGTGTACACATTAAGAAAAATGGTGACTCGGCTGATTGACAAAAGTCGCTGCCCTGACCCTTCCCTGCTTAAATACCTTGTAATTTCTGGAGTCCCAGGTGCTAAACTGCTTGGCCCTGCCAAGGGCTGTGGGGTGGGGGTGGAGGTTTGCAGTCAGCCCTCTGACCTGCCCTCGGCCAGCTGGTCAGGTGGTCAGCTGGTCAAATGGCCAGCCAACCACCATGTACGTGGGTGTCAGCATCCCTTTCTCTGCCATCTGTTCTCACAGCCGCCCTCAGTAGGTTGTGGGGGAACAGGAGATTTCGTGGAGCTCCTGGGCGGGGTCGGATTGGACCCTTCCAAGATGATGCCCCTGGCTGATCTCTGCTACCCGTTCCGTGGACCTGGTAAGACGTCTGACCCTCGTAGAGGTGCCCAGGCTCCCACGTGCCTGCTGGGAAACCTGTCCCTCTGTTTCCCTCCTGTGACAGCACAGATGAAAATCGGCTGTGACAGTGCTGTGGTGCGCATGGTCTCCAGCGGGAGACACACCAACCGCATGACCGTGGAGTACCACCAGCTGGAGACACAGGACATGGAAGCCCCAAATGAGAACGGCCTGCAGCCCGCCTGTGTGTCAGGACCCTGAGCCCTGGCACCAGTGACTGCAACACGGCGGGGGCCCTGACACCCTGCTGGAACCCCCACCCTTCCCACCTCCAGCACATGCTAGCACCTGTGCACACATGTATGAACTTTCCTACTTGGCCACTCTCTGCAATCTACGTATGATCCATGTGGTGGGAAACCAGCCCTTCTGGCAGGAGCAACGTTCTAAAGCAGAAGCTTGGCAGCCCGTGGTGTGCGGCTCAGGCCACAGAGGAAGAAAGGGGCGGGTCCATGTGCAGTCCAGTGTCTCCCACAGGGAGTGTGTGTTTATTCTGCTGTTTACACCAGGTGGCAGTTGTAGCTCTTGCTGATTTTGTAGCCATTTGTTTCTGACAAAACCCAGTTGTGTGGACAGAAGTGCTGCGCCCATGATAGAGGTAAATAAACGTGCTCCAAGCCGACCCTGGCGCTGTACTACCCACCGTCTTGTTAGGTTCGCCTTGGCTGCAGAACCAGATCCACTCAGACCCGAAGCCCCGAAGTGCCCATTTGGGGGCAGAGGTGGCCGTGATAGTGCCCGCTGTTGGTCTTGGATCCTGTGTACAATGTGGCAGCCAGGCAGGAGGGAAACCCAGGTGGGCCATGCTGCAGCTGCCAGGCTGGCCTTTGGAGGGAGGGGACACCTCAGCGGTGAGGGACCAGGAGCCTGGTGGGGGAGGCGTAGGCACCTACCGGTTCCTCCTGATGACTTCCCTGGAGGCTTCGCCCCTCAGAAAGCTGAATCCATGCTCGGGCAACTGTGTCCCTGTCAGCTTCAAACCCGCCAGACGCCTCTGCTCATTCAGGAGGGACCTTGGCCCCTTGGTGTCCTTGTCCTGACTCGCCACAGCTGGCCACTGTGGCTCCCCTCCCTTGGGAGCTCCATGGTGGGCAGTAGCTTGTGCTGGGGAAGGTGGCCACCAGCACCCTGTCTGCAGCTCTCAGGAAGCTCACAGCTCTATCCCTACTCCTGGAGGGTGGGCAGCTTCTGGCAGCACATGCTGCACGGGGTCCCTGGGCAGCAGCAGTGGAGTGCTGGAGAGGAGGCCCTGTCCAGGGTGACCCTCTGAGATTGTACCTGCGTGCCCTCTCCTTACAGAGAGCATGTCAGGATACAGACAGCCTCAGGAGCCCAGAGCAGCAGGCTGATGGCCCGTCTTCTGATGGGTCCTCTGTCACGATCACCTCTCACTTTCCCCTTAGTAATTAAGGGGTTTTTTTCTCCTGGTTAGGATAAACTACACAAAGCATGTATGTGAGGGAGAAAATGCAGGTAAGAGAAAGAGGTTTGAGTACAGGGTTCTGGAGCATCATGAAAATGGTCTCTGAGTCAGCCTTGGCATGGCTCCTGGGATAGCCATGAACACTGTCCCTCTGGGCGGGGCTCCTGGGATAGCCATGGACACTGTCCCTCTGGGCGGGGCTCCCGGGGACAGCCATGGACACTGTCCCTCTGGGCGGGGCTCCCGGGGACAGCCATGGACACTGTCCCTCTGGGCGGGGCTCCCGGGGACAGCCGTGGACACTGTCACTGTACGTCCCGCCCCACCAAGTCAGGGCTGCTTGGCAGGTGCCTCTGCTGTGTCTCCCAGCCCTTTTACAGCACAGCCCCCGCGCCCACACCAAGTGCCCGTGAGAGCAGGGAAGCGCCTGGCAGGAAGGGTTGAGGCTGGCATAACTGTGTGTAAGGCTGCAGGCTGAGCAACCCGGCAGCACAGCTCCTACTGCAGGATGACAAACAGGAAAGTTAGATGTGCGTATGTCCTCAACTTAGATACCGGGAAGCCGGGATTGGCTGCGTCCTGGTGAGCTCCGCGTGCTGCGAACTGCAGCCTTTACACCTGGCTCTGCTTCGAGCTGGGGAAACCAGGGCTGAGACATGGTAGTGCCAGGGGTCAGAGCTTGCCACTTCTGCATAACGCTGCCCTGCGGCGTGCTAATGGCCTGCATGAAGAACCGGCCCGGCTCAGAGTGACACTGCAAGGTCAGGGCAGCAGGCGTCTCCTAGCGCTCAGAGAGCCCACACTGCTGCCTGCTCTGACTGCTCAGCGACCGAGGGCAGGGCAGGAGACATCCTAACTGAGGCGCTCAGAGTCCACAGCCACCGCCTGCTCTCCGTGTGTCTATGGGGCCAGGTGCCCAGATGTTTGTCCAGTGTTGCTCTGGATGTCACTGTGAAGGTCCGTCGCAGACCTACACTGAAATCACATGACCCTTGGAAGTGTGGGCTGTGGCTCCAGCAGAAGACGGTTTCTCACTAAGGGTTAGACTTTTAACTGCAGCCATGTGCTAACAGTTAATGATGGAGGCAGACAGCCTGAGAACGAGGCAGGATGCCGTGCAGGTGAGTGCCTGGGGTGGGTCGATGGGAGCTCTCCAGGCAGTCAGGCACTGCCCTGGGACAGTTGCCCTCAGGGGGAGAACTGGTGACATGACATGAGCCGAGCCTGCCTGCCCCCTGGATCACTGTGAGACCACCCCAGCTCAACAGATACTGTACCCACAGAGCACCTCCAAACTGCAGGTGAAACGAATGTTGCTCCTGGCACAGCAGCTCCTGCCGGGCATCTCAGGGCAGGGCAGTGCTGGTGAGGGTACATGCCCAGTGCCAGCTGGTTTTCTGTCTGCAACTGGAGTTGTGAGCAGAACTGATGTTAAACCTCTGTGCAAGCGGCTGTGTTGCACCCCGTGCCTGCCGCCTGGCTTCCCTCGACAGCCAGAAACCCAAAGTGGATATGGCTGTGGCTGTCAGCGTCCTGTACTGTATGGGGCTGTAGAAAGAGCTACTGGCAGTTACGTGGACATGTAATATTGCGTGTCTGTTTATAACCCATGCTGTTATCGCTCAGCATTCGTGAGCAACCAGCTTTCTGGCTCTGCTCCAATCCCAAAGGAGAGGTAAAAGTTTGCTCATTTCTCAGTGAAACTGGTCTGGGTGTCTCTTTCCAAGCTGGCAGTGGTCTCTCAGGTCACTGATAAGATGAATGTAGGAGGGGCACACTGCTCCAGGAATGAAGAAGCTTCTGGAATGTCACTCAGTAGTTTTCTGAAAGTGGAATAAAGGGGCAGGCACCTGGCGCTGAGGCTCCTTGCTGCGCTCGTGGTCAGGTTCTGGCTTGGTTGCAGTTCCAGCTTCTGCTGTGCGTCCTGGGAGGCAGCGGGTGAGGCCAGGTACCTGGTCCCTTGTCCCCAGGTGGGAGACCTTGGCTGAGGTCCTGGGTCATGGTTTGGGCCTGGCCAAGCCCCTGCTGTGGCAGGCGGCTGGGGAGTGAACCTGCAGTTGGGGCATCTCCACTTTTGTTGACTTCTGTTTCTTTCTGCTTTTCAAATTAAATATCAGAACTGAATAAAGACTTTCTAAACTACGGAACTCTGAGGAGGGTCACGAGGAGAGTGGCCATCAGTGTGCAAGGCATGCTGGGGGTGGACAGGCGGGACACAGCCTGACCGCAGGTCTTCTTGTTACAGAGCTGGCTTCTCTGGATCTGTCACAGTCCTGCCCTGCCCGGAAGGGCAATGACCATCATAGTGCTGTGAAGAACGCGTCACATTCGTTAGTTGAGTGAGTGTGAGGGAACAAAGTTAGTCCCCAGGCCTGATCAACTTGGTGAGTTGTTCTGCCTTTTATTGTCAAAATATGTAATTATGTGACATATTTGTTGCTGAGACAGGGCGAGCCAGAGAAATCTTCCATCTGCTGGTTCATTGCCCAGATGGCCACAATGGTCAAGACTGAGCCAGGCCGACGCCAGGGCCCTTGGGCTCCGTCTGTCCCCCCTGTCTGGCTGGTGGGACCCCGACACTGCATTCTGAGGGAGAGCACTGGAAGAGGAACAGCCAGCACTCACACTGGCTCCTCAGGGACGCCAGTGCGCCCAGTAGGTGGCTTGGTTCACTCTGCCACGATTTTTGAATTCTTGAATAAGTCTCCTAAAGCATGTCAATTTCAGACTTAATGTGTGCAGTTTGATACTCCAACTTTTACACGCGCATGTTGATTAAGTCCCAGAATTAACTGCATCTCTATAAAATGAGATGTTTCACAGTGTTTGCTATCTGCTGAGCTGTGTGGACTGCAGATATTTAATCTTGGGACAGCCTGGTGTTGGAGTGCTCTTATGTGCTCACGCAGCGGGCTCTCTCAGCCACCCCTTGGTAATGTGGCCCTCCCGTGTGGGTCACTTCAAAACCACTACAGTTTAAGGATCATAATGGTCAATGCAAGAAAGCTGTCCGCTTTATTTATGCAGAAACCCTCATGAGCTCTGGCACAGATTTTTTTTTTTAAAGATGTATTTATTTTTACTGCAAAGTCAGACATACAGAGAGGAGGAGAGCCAGAGAGGAAGATCTTCCATTCAATGGTTCACTCCCAAAGCGGCTGCAACAGCTGGAGCTGAGCCAATCTGAAGCCAGGAACCTCTTCCAGGTCTCCCACGCGAGTGCAGGGTCCCAAAGCTTTGGACCGTCCTCAACTGTTTTCCCAGGCCACAAGCAGGGAGCTAGATGGGAAGTGGGGCCACTGGGATTAGAACCAGCACCCATATCGATCCCGGGTGCGTTCAAGGTGAGGACCTTAACCACTATGCTTATGGCACTGGGCCCACGGACCAGACTTTTTACGTCATGATCTAGTGGGTATTTCCAAGGATAATTCTGCCTAAAAGCTCTCAATAGAGGTTTTTCAATAGAAGTTCTCAATAGATGGTGCATATCAATCAGTAACTCTTTCCTACCACAATCCTCATTTAACAGCTTAGTCTTGAATCAGTTAAGGGAGCAAATGCATCATAAAGAAAAGGAGAACCTAAAGATCAAGGAAAGAATGAAATCCTAAACATAAATCCCTTGATTAGCATAACACGGATGGGGGCAGCAGAGCCAGAGCCAGCGTGAATTGTAAAAGGCCCTTTGGCAAGATACTAGTAGCTACGTTAACCTCCAGGCTCACATTGATAGTAAAAAGCCAACTCCACAGCAGACAATGCCTGAATGGATTAC